ACCTCGAGCGGCCATCTGAGGAGTGGCCAGTGGAGGAATCCCTAGGCTGTAATGTAAACACTGCATTTTCTCTGTAAAGACAGTGTTTACTGCAAAACGCTTGAAGGGAATGATTCTACTCACCAGAACAAATACAATAAGCTGTAGTTATTCTGGCGATTGTAGTGTCTCTTCAAAAATATTTTTAGATGAGATTATTTTAAGTAAAATATCAATCTTTGTAAGTACATTTTTTTCATATCTGCCTGTTCCTCACGTGACAGTCCATACAAGTTTCTTTTCAGTATCACATCAACCTTCTGTGAATGCATTTATCTCTCTTTGTTGATAATGTAGTCTATACTGGTGTCTTTGTTAAGAAATCAAGGATCTTTGTTTATGAATATATGGAAACAATGATACTCTTGGAAGAAGACCATACGGTCAGGTCTTGGAATTGTTAACGGCAGCTTTAGAAGTAAATTACAACTCAAGAAACCATTTAGCCAATGCAGCAGTAACAATGTGTCAATCACCACCCTGCAGGTACATTTTGTATGCCATCATTGTTTCTTGGATGCTCCTATCTTGTCACTTACCCGGTGCCTGCAAGAGACTGTCCAGATATTTTATCTTCTCTGCAAGAAAAGCAGGCAAAACAGAAACCTTTTTTTTTTTTAGTTTTCGTTTAATGGCAATTTCTTACTGTTTTTGCTTAGCAACAGTGTGGCTTTCATATCAAAGAATTATAGCTGGAAACTCGGGGCAGCCAAGCATTCACGGTACAATAAAAGCTTTCAATTAGATATTTTTCTTTTCAAAATTCCGGTGAATGTCTGCCACTCTTTTCAGTCAAAAGTCTTTGATAAATACAACAGGTTGGGATTAATAAAGATCATTGTTCCACTTTGTCTATCCAGATTTATTTGACTGCAACTCCCATAATTCTCTGCTGGCTACTGCTCAGAATCATCTAGGGGGCCCAAACTTAATTTGATTTAACTCGACTCGTTGAGTGCCAACATCAGAATGATACTGTTTTAATAGCAATACTTTAAGATATTATAGATATAATGGGTAGAGCATTGGTGGAGAAAACATGTTTCTACACCATGTGCATTGACAGGGGAATCTCTTGAATGACTACTTCTGTGTTGCTATCAATGCCCAGTCTGCTCCATGAGTTATGACAGATTGGACTGAGAGCAGCACAGAACAATATAAAACTAGCAGTTTGGGCCCAGAAGGAAAGCACAGTTTTGAGGCAGCAGTAATATGATGTCATTTTCTTGTGCCGCTATCAATGTACTGCTTACAAACTCATGCCTTGCAGCTGGCAGGGAGAGAACAGCAGTATTAGATATTTAACTGGCTGCCCCGGCCAGGGGCCACCATCAGGGGGTGACAACCATAACAGTTGTCACAGGCCCGGTGGTCCTGGGGGGCCTGGACTGCTTGGCAGTCCGGGGCCCCACAATTACTCTCTGCACCTATATATAGCGATGATAGCTATATATAGGTGCAGCCGCGGGCCCCTGGATCCCTATACTTGCAGAGGGGGCCCAGCGGACTGCAGCTGTACTTTACAGCATTTCCCTCGCTCTAACTCCCGCGAGACGTGCGGCTGTTAGAGCATTGCCATGGGTTACCATGGCAACGCTCCGCGCGGCGCGCACACCACATCTTGCGGGAGTTAGAGAGAGGGAAATGCTGTAAAGTACAGCTGCAGTCCGCTGGGCCCCCTCTGCAAGTATAGGGAGCTGGGGGACCCTACCATGCCACCGGACCACCAGGGATCATGGAATCTCCCCCCTCCCTGGACCAGGTAAGAATCAGGGAGGGGGGAATAACAGATTACATTTACATTATTACATTACATGCATACACTAGTAAACACACACACACTTTGCATTTACTGCACTAACACGTACACTGCATTCATTACACTAACACACACTCTGCATTCATTACACGAACACACACTCTGCATTCATTACACTGACACACACTCTGCATTCACTGCACTAACACACACACTGCATTACACGAACACACACTCTGCATTCATTACACGAACACACACTCTGCATTCATTACACTAACACACACTCTGCATCCACTACATTGACACACACTCTGCACCCACTACACTGACACACACACTGCATCCACTACACTAACACACACACTCTGCATCCACTACACTAACACACACACACTGCATTCACTGCACTAACACACACACCGCATTCATTACACTAACACACACACTGCATTCACTACACTAACACACACACTGCATTCATTACACTAACACACACTCTGCATTCACTACACTGACACACACACACACTGCATTCATTACACTAACACACACTCTGCATTCACTACACTGACACACACACACACACTGCATTCACTGCACTAACACACACTCTGCATTCATTACACAGACACACACACTGCATTCATTACACTAACACACACACTGCATTCACTGCACTAATACACACACTGCATTAACTGCACTAACACACACTGCATTCACTACACTGACACACACACACTGCATTCATTACACTGACACACACACTGCATTCATTACACTAACACACACTCTGCATTCATTACACTGACACACACACTGCATTCATTACACTAACACACACTGCATTCATTACACTGACACACACTGCATTCATTACACTAACACACATTCTGCATTCATTACACTAACACACATTACACTAACACACATTCTGCATTCACTGCACTAACACACGCTCTGCATTCACTACACTAACACACACACTCCATTCACTGCACTAACACACACTCTGCATTCACTACAGTGACACACACTCTGCATTCACTACACTAACACACACCCTGCATTCACTGCACTAACACACACTCTGCATTCATTACACTAACACACACACTGCATTCATTGCACTAACACACACACTGCATTCATTGCACTAACACACACTGCATTCATTACACTAACACACTCTGCATTCATTGCACTGACACACACACTGCATTCATTGCACTAACACACACTCTGCATTCATTACACTGACACACACACTGCATTCATTGCACTAACACACACTGCATTCATTGCGGAGGGGGAGGCCAGCCGGCGGGGGGAGTGGGAGGAGTGGGGGGGGCCGTGACCTTGTGCTTTGTCAGGGGCCCCAAAATTTCTGGTGGCGGCCCTGGCCCCGGAACACCATCACTTCAAGCATCAGTAGCTGTCTTTTTTTATTTTTTTTATAAGCAAATGTGTGTCCCTGCCTGTGTCTTTGTATTCCTGTGTTTGTTTGTCTGTCTCTGAATTTGTGTGTCTGTATCAACGCATGTCTGTCTGTATATATGCAAGCCTTTTTCTGTCAGTGTATGTATGTCTGTGTGTGTGTTATTGTGTGCACATGTGTATACTTGTGTGTGTCTGTGTGTATCCGTGTAGCTTTGTGCGCATATTAATAGCAACACCCCTGACACTCACCTGTAACAAAAACGGCCCTAAGTATTGGTCAGACATGATATACTGACAGACAGATGATTGAACTTCAGACTTTCAGCCCTTGAAAGCAACCTCTTTTGGGGAATTTTAAGAATAATCAAAATTGCTTTACCGTGTTGAGATTTCATTTTGTTTGTAATCATGTCCTGGGATGCAGGTTATTATTTATTATTACCATAGTCAGTTGCAGTTGTTTTATTGACATCTGAAGGATCAAAGGCTGACTTAGCCTTGTAAAGGAATCAACCCTTGCAACCCTCATGTCTGAGTAATTCATGCATTAACCTAATGTATAGGAAAAAGTATTAAGTATTTTTTTTGTTCATTTTGGAATCCATTTAAATACAATATAGTTGACATATTCTCAGGGATGAAAATGACAATGCACAGAATGATACAGTAGAGAATCCAGATTATTATTAATATTTTAAGTGCCAATATTATTTTAATAAAGTGCTAAAATCACAAAAAATATCAGACATTCAATTCAAAAGAGATTTTAGGTCTGGTTTTCAAACTGGACATCAGCCCTGAGTGAATCTCTCCCATATGTCAATGTGGCAACCTGGGGAAAGTTGAACTCTTGCAATGCAGTTTTTTTATTTTTTTATTCTGGATTTCCCTTAAAGAGATCCCTTCAGACACCATGCCATCTTTCACTATTTCAGAATAAATTAGCTGCTGGGTTTCCTTTAAAGGCATATGACTTAAAGCTGGGTTTGTATATTAACCCCATTATAATCACTTGATGAATCCCAACCACTGAATATAATACATTCGTATAAAATGGAAATTCACATTATTTACCTCCGTGAAGATAATTTCAATATCAACAGTATGACAACGGAACCTGGTAAATGACAAAAGCACGTCATCATTTGCCAAATAATAACTCAGAATTTACTAGATTTTCAATGTGAAGCCCTTTCAGATTAAACATATTGAAGATCTGCGTGACATAAAGTAATGTGGCTCTCTCGTCCACGCGCACAGTGTGTACAACACACAGAAATGGACACATTGTTCTAGCTGTGGTTGCACATGGTAGCTGACCGTTACACATACAATGGCTGATACTTTAAAGTTTAATCCCACAAAAAGAGTATGATAAATAAAACAGAAACAAAAACAAATAAATAAAGATGGCTTGCAGTCCACGTGTGTCTCTAGAGAGTGGAATTTGTCTGCTCTCAAAATCCTTTCCTTAGTGATTGTGTTCTAGAATGTTTCTGTCGTACATTCTATAACTTCTTCTCCCGCAGTTCGATGAAAGTTCTGTAGTTCTTGTTTTGTTTGGTGCAGGAACTGTATTTGTTTTTTTGTTTGTTTGAAACAATGGATGTTGTCAATGGGGCAGTGATGACATTTTAAATACTGTACTTATAAGTATTCCAATCTGGTATTTATTAAGTGGTTCAGAAACCCCCAAGCCTCTTAAAGTTCACTTTTGGACTATAGCAGCTAAGAGGTATCGATCCATCTGGTTGGTTTAAACAGCTGTAGTCCTGCCCAGAAGAGGAATAGGGAAGATGAGCTGGCAGCCCCCAGGCAGTCTGTGCAGTCCTCCACTACTTATGTCGGAGCCAGCCCAGGATGGTGGTCTTGGCCTATGTACTTCCTGTGAAAGGCTGACGGGAATCTGTGAGCTCAGGGCTCCGGGAAGAGGCTGAGTGTGTGCCGGTGCTGCCAGATGCTGTTTATGGCTCAGGGGTTGCTCTGGTTTTACCACTTCATCCTGGACAGTTAGGAAAGGGTTGAGGATCTTTCGGTAAATACCACGTGTGTCAGTGAGCACCTCACTGTAAGGTGGCGGTGGTTCAGCCATCAGCAATGCCTCTTCGTAACATGGGGGCTGAGAAAGATCTGGCTCTGTAAATATGACACAAGAGAGAGTTACAATGGTAAACCCATATCGTTATTAGCTGCTTGTTTATCGCCTTTCTAGTGTCTAAGGTCCAGTTTATTGTGAACACCCAAGATTGGAAACAGGTGTGCATCTGAATTAACCATTTTCTAAGCAGCCTGGTAGAACATGGATGTTGACCATTACTGCTAAAGACCAAAAAATCATGGAAACCTCATGTTGTTTAAAGATATGCAAGTCCATTTCTTAATTTAAAGGGCCTTTCTAGGCATTAACCACTACATCTCAGGGGACCCTAGGCACTATAACCAATTCAGTGAGATGAAATGGATATAGTACCTTGAATATCCCTTTCATTTTATTTATATATATTTTCATAATTTTGATGGGAACCAATGTAAGCTTGCCCATCATTTTTTATTTGGGAAAAATATTTGCAATCATTTAGAAACACTAAGATTCTTTTTCTGAAGGGGAGGGTGGTAAGCCAAATATATATGGGATAAAATTAATATCTCTATAATTTTGTAATAGGTTTCAGTTCTAAAGGGCCCTTGCCCCTCGTTGTAGCTGTTGGATAAACTTGTTTGAGAGCATCTAGGCATGTCTAAACAATGTGGCTGCTTTTAAATCTGCCCTGTTTCAGCAAGTTTTGCACATGCCTAGTGTCTTTCAAGAAGGAGTTTGTAGGAATTCCCATTGAGTTGCCATTTGGACAGCAGAGCCAGCATGCTATTTGCCTCACCTCTTCTGGGGCAATCATTGGCTGATAGCACTAGGGGGTGTGGTTACAGTGCCCTTTAGGAGAGAGAATCAAGAAGCCATATTGAAAGCAGCAAAAATAAAGTAGAGAAGCAGCTCTTGGCCCTTGCCAAATACAAGTATAATATATATATATATTTCTTTTTCCCAGTAGTCCCATGGTCTGGGGGATTTACGCAAGGGAATTTACTCAAATACATAAATCCAGAAATGCCCAGGGGTGACAAGGTGAGGGGGCCATTTCTGACACAAAGCCCTGTGCTGCCTGTCACTAATAGTTCTAATAACTCCTACTGTACATACCCACCATCTCTTTTAACCCCTTAAGGACACATGACATGTGTGACATGTCATGATTCCCTTTTATTCCAGAAGTTTGCTCCTTAAAGGGACAATCTAGGATATCTCATTGAAGTGGTCTGGGTGCAATGTCCGTGTCATTTTAGCCCTGCAGCTGCAAACATTGCAATTTCAGAACAACTGCAATGTTTACACTGCAGATTGAGCCTGCCTTTAGAAGCTGTCTACCAAAAAGCTTCTAGAAGTACTTACTGGCTTTTTACTGAGTTTGATTCCGTTAAATGACGCTGGACATCCTCACGCCTCAATAGATGTACTTGTGCTATGAATAGGGCACTAGGACCTAACAGGGACCACTGAAGCAGTGCTTATATCAGGGTCAGACCTCAGTGGGATGGTTAAAATGATTGGCAGGCAGCCTGGCGTGCATGGCGCCGGCATGGGGAACTATGGGACTGGGGCTGTGACTCAGAGGACTGATCTCATTCTGATTTCAATGTGTTTTAATCTGTACTGATTGATGCTTCTGTTAACCATCCAGCTGGCAATATAGCTAATCTGCAGTGGTACATATTCCCACTGCAGATTAGTTATACTGCCATCTGCAAAGGTAATACCGAGTCTATCAGTATTCTGCTGCTTTAACCCCGTGCACACTGTGTGCTGAGAGCTATTAGGGAGTCAGGTAACTGAAGTGTTTGGAAACTATCAGTATATTGATGCCTTAACTATGTGTACACTATGTGCTGAGAGCTAATGGAGTATCTGACATATTTCTTAAGAGCAGCAATATTTAAAAGAAAGCTACATTTTGAGACATTTACTTTGTGGGTATATCTGTATTGCAGCTCTGTTTAATCCATCATGGTCATCCTGGCTGTGTGGAATAGTTAGGAGTATCTCCTTATTTACCCAGCTCTGTGTATTGTATGGGTATTTTTTTGTTGTGTCCAGCACTGTGTATTAAATCCCTATTTTTTCTTAGTTCTGTTTGTGGCATGGTTATCTCTGTATTGTACTCAGCTCAATGATATATATATATATATATATATATATATATATATATATATATATATATATATAAAATAACAAAAATATAATATATATGTATATATGTGTAGACATCTCTGTATTATGCTCTGCTCTCAATCTCTGTACTGTACAGACAGGAGTAAAATTCTGGGGGTCTGGCGCCCCATCATCTTAAAACTTTACCATCTGTCACTGAAAGCCAGCATTCACCAAACTTGCACTAAGTTTTCTCTGTACACACACCACACACGACACACAGCCAGCACTCACTGCACATACATGACACACAGCAAGCACACATCATACCCCGATGACACATGGCAAGCACACACTATGAAAAAGGGGAGACAATAGGAGGACAGAGGGTGAGACACCATCCATGAGACACCTCCATTTTCTCTTTCTGATCTACTTTGACAGGACTATTTAATGAATGTTCACAATGTCCAGGGCTCTTGGGGTCAGGACAGGTAGATTGTCATGATGGAGAGAAGTTGATTGGGCTACCACTTTAGTGCCATGGGCAAATATATTAATATATAATTTTTTAAATCCACAACTCTTTACTTCATTTAGAAAGAGATATATTTCCTTTCAAATCTTGAGAGGGATTATTATGTTAAAAATGGTTTTGAGGTGACAGTTGCCCTTTAAATGGATACACATTGGATAGATAAATAGAAGAGGTTGAAGGGGTATGTTCGAATGTCAGACATGGGTTAAATCCAAATATTAAAGGGACACTATAGTCACTAGAAGCACTACAGCTAAATGTAGCTTCTGGTGTTTATAGTCTGTCCCTGCAAGCTGAGCACTGTAAATTCGACCTTTTCATAGAAAAGGCAGCGTTTACATTGCTGCCTAGGAACACCTCTAGTGGCAGTCACTGAGATGGCGACTAGAGGTGCTTCTTGATCCAGTGCTGCACATTGCACGGCACTGCATGCAGATGCTGAGCACTTCCCATAGAGATATATTGACTCAATGCATCTCTAAGAGACGTTGCTTATTGGCGCAGCGTGGCGTTTTTCTGCGCATGCGTAATAGCCTCCCAATCTATGGGAAAGCACTGAATTGGCTAAGATCATTAAGATCATCCAATCATCAGCAGTGCCGGGGAAAAAAAAAAGCTAAGTAAACCTTTTCCATGTGATCAGAAAGGGGCCGATGACCTAAATATAGTTAGTTAAACACTATAGTGTGAGGAATTCACTATTCCTGACACTGTATGTTCTGTTAAGCAAGTGGAATGTGATTGGAATGCAAGTGGAATTTAAAATGCCACGGGTGTGGGAAATTAACCCTTAACTGCCATTTTAACTTGTGTGTGTCACCTTGTGTGTCTGTAACAAGGCCATACATTCAAAGGTATGTAAACTTTGAATCAGGGCCATTTGGGTGATTTCTGTTATCATTATGATTTAAAAAAGCAGCCAAACAACTAATAAATGGCTTCATATGATCACTATCATAAAATAAAATACATTATTTTGCATGATCAGTCATATTTTCTAAATCAATGCCGAGATTTCACAATTTCTGCTAGGGTATGCAAACTTCTGAGCACATCTGTATATGAGGTCACTTCTGAGCACAACTGTATATGAGGGGTTTCGGTTTGTTGCGAAATTGGACAGCATTTTTTTGGATCAACAGGAAAAACAGACGTGAGAAAGGCTAAACCTGATAGATGCAAGTCTTTTTTCTGCCTGTTCTAATGTTATATATGTTTGAAACGAAAAGACTAAGCCTATGGGGTATTTAACTCAACTTCATCCAACTGACTGTATTTACTTCAGGTTTATATCACTGGTAGACAATGCACAAGTCACTTGGCAAAAGTGTTGGGAGACTATTACAGTTGCAGAATGTGAGATGACACTAGTTTATATGCTATGTCCTCTGATGTTAGAATTAGGCTGTGCCTTATAAATATTTATATATTTTTTGTGATTTTTTTTCCCCCCCTAGAGTTCAGAAGAAGGGTCTTGTAAACTACACACAGAGGAGAACTATGTTCATCTTCAGTCAGCTGTCAAAGGGAGAGAGAGTGCTATATGGAGCGCTAGCACAATGTCCATTGCCCCACCAGATGAAGAAACTTCACCAAATGCTCTTCTCTGCAGTCTGAAACAGACTAGTCTTTGCGACTTACCCCGAATAGCTTATTTATCCACCCTAGTAAAGCACAAGTCTTTTGTGTACGAGCACTACAGTTATTTATAACGCTTGGTATGTTGTCTCTGATGAATGGTTGAGATTCGTGCTTGTACAGCAATATGAGACCGTTTAACCAGCAAGTAATAATAGTGCTGTCACGTCAACCCTCACTACATCCTGTGACGTTCTCGTTTTTTTTCTTCACATTCACTCAGTTGTTCGCATTACCAGTCTATTTTCAGTATTGACTAATTGGTAGAAGCTAATGCTTTCTCCCTATGCCCCCCATGTTGGCTTGGAACCCATAGATTTTACAAATTATAGCTGTTAGAATGACCTACCTCAGTGTTTTAAATGGCTCCTATTAACTGTAATCTGTTAGATTATAGTAACTAGTCCTTATCACAATTGATTTTAGAACAGGATGTTCATCAAACAGATGCTATTCCTATGCATAAGTACAATAGGTTACTTGTATGTACCATTTGACTGCTGAAGTTTGGTCAGTGCTTGCTTCCACTAATTAGATCTGTGATTTCTATTAGATTAAAAAAAACAATATACAAATTCTGGAAGATGCAAATTCAAATTACTACCAAATTTTTGATGTATGACAAAATGGAGTCAGGAGAGATTGGGGAATAGAGAGACACAAGGGGCGAGTGCAAATATGTAGAATAAGAGAGGTACATGGGGAGGTGGGGGAGATAGAATGTAAAGAAAACACAATGGGGTGAGGGAAAATAGGGGTTAGAGAGATCACCCCGATCAATCATAGGAGGATAAAAAGAGAGAAACACACAAGTAGGGTGAGGTGGATATTGGAGAAAAAAACAGAAGGTTGAGAAATTTCAGAACCCCTGACAAGGCCCTAAAGTCCATCCCACAGGGCCACCCCGAGGCTGCACACAGGGCCCATCCTGAGTCAGCCCACAAGGATGAAATGTGTGTGTACTGAATGTAGTGTTTGTATAATAGATGTAGAATGTGTGTAGTGGATGCAGACTGTGTGTGTATAAAGTTGATGGGGTGTATGTCATGAATGCACGTGTACAGTGGCGTACACATGACCCATGGGGCCCCGGTGCAAAAATTGATCCGTGGGCCCCCCCCGCGCGCTTACTCAGCGCGGGTCGGGGTCACAACACATGGTGGCGGGCACCTGGTCGCAGGGGTTGCAGGGCTGCGACCCCGCGACCGCGGTATGCACACACACTTAAAGGACCACTACAGACACCCAGATCACATCAGCTCAATGAAGTGGTCTGGGTGCCAGGTCCCTCTAGTTTTAACCCTGCAGCTGAAAACATAGCAGTTTCAGAGAAACGGCTATGTTTCACTGAGGGTTAATCCAGCCTCTGGTGGCTGTCTCATTGACAGCTGCTAGAGGAGCTTCCGCGATTCTCACTGTGAAAATCACAGTGAGAAGACACTGAACGTCCATAGGAAAGCATTGAGTAATGCTTTCCTATGGGCGGTTTAAATGCGCGCGCGCCTCTTGCCGCGCATGTGCATTTCGGAGCTGAGTGGCAGACACTGGGGAGACCGACGCTGGAGAAAGGTAAATGCTGAAGACACACACACACACACACTCTCACGAACAGACACATACACACTAGCTAACAGACACACACATTTACTGACAGAGATACACTCAGCGACAGACATACATACACTTTCACTGACAAACACACACTCACTAACAGACATCAAACACACTCAGTAACAGACACACACAGTAACACACTCACTAGCAGACACACACCCAATAACAGACACATTCACTGACACACACACTAACACACGCACTAACACAAACACTGACACACTAACACACACACACACTCTAACACACAACATACACTAACACTAACACACACACACACACACATACACTAACACACACACACTCTAACACACACACACACACACATACACTAACACACACACACTCTAACACACACACATACACTAACACTAACACACACACTCTAACACACACATACACTAACACACACACACACACATTTTTTTTTTCAAATATAATCCCCTCCAGCCTCCTTACCTTTTGGAGTGCTGGGGGGATTCCCTGGGGTCCAGTGGTGCTGCTGGGCTCCTGGTCACTGGGTGGGCGGGCTGCCTGGCCTGCGCGCGAGGGAGCACTTTCCCCTGTGTGCTCCCTCTTCAGCTCCCTCGCGCGCCGTGTAGGGATGCTGGCGCCGGAAGATGACGTCATCTTCCGGCTCCGGCATCCCTATGCGGTGCGCGAGGGAGCTGAAGATGGAGCACTGAGTGCTCCCTCGCGCGCCCACCTGCCCGACCGGCCAGGCAGCCCGCTGGGGTCAGCAGGGCCAGCCTCGGTGGGCCCTGTGGTGGTCGGCTCCTGGGCCCCCCAGGGGAAGAGGCTGGCCCTGGGCGTACATACCGGGTCGCAGGGGCGGCCGGGCCCCCTGGTGGGCCGGGCCCGGTCGCAGCCGCGACCCCTGCGACCCTGGTATGTACGCCAGTGCACGTGTACATTTGTGTGATGTATGTAGTGTTTGTGTGAATTAGATGCATAGTGTGTGTTTGTGTAGTGGATGTAGAGTGTGTATAGTGACTGAATAGTCTGTATAGTGAATGTAGTGTGTTTGTAGTGAACATAGTGTGTACAGTAAATGTAGTGTGTCTGTAGTGAATGTAGTGTGTGTGGTGAATGTAGTATGTACTTAATGTAGAGTGTATATAGTGACTGCAATGTGTGCATAGTGAATGTAGTGTGTGTGTGTGTGGTGAATGCAGAGTGTGTATAGTGAATATAGTGTATGTGTAGTGAATGCAGAGTGTCTATAGGGAATGTAGTGTATGTGTAGGGAATGCAGAGTGTATATAGTGACTGCAGAGTTTGTGTAAGGATATGGGCTGCATTCTGGGGGTGAGGGGGGTGGAAGCATTTTTATTTTTTATTTTATTTATTTTTTTTACCTTTATATCAGCACATCTTCTTTATTCCCCCTCCATGTTCCTTAAGTGTCCAGGGAGGGGGGAGATTGCATTCCCTGGTGGTCAAGTGGCTTTGTGGAGGGAGCCAGCACACTCTGTTAATGTTCTAGCTGATCCTCTGTCTCTAACTCTGGTGAGACCGGCATGCCTGCCACCAGGGGCGGGCTGGGCCGGGGGCAGGGAGGCAATTGCCCCCCAGGCCGCCCTAAATTCTGTTGGGACCGGCCGCTGCAGGGCCGGCCCTTTAAATGCTGCAGCCGCCTGAGCGCTCTGTTAAGAGCCTCAGGCGGCTGCAGCTGCTCCTCTCCCCCCCTCCCCTGTAGCGTGGCCGAGCTGCTCGCTGGTCCACGGTGCCCGGCCAGACTGATAGGAAGGCTCACGCTGAGTGTGCACTTCCTGTCAGTCCGGCCGGTTACAGGAAACAGAAACTCCTGTTCCGCGCAGAGTTTCTGTTTCCTGTAACCGGTTAATGATCTGTTAATAGCGTCCTAGACCCTACAGGAGCCCCCGGTGTGTGATTAAAGTTCAATTTAAAGCAGGTAATAAAAACTTTTGGTCACAGCCAGGGAAGGTGTGGCTAGGGCTGCATAAACAGAAACAAACATGATTTAAATCCTATATGGCAGTGAATTGAGCATTGAGACCACAGTTGTATAACCTATACACCAAAACAGCTTGATTAAGCTGAAATTGTTTAAATGCATATAGTGTCCCTTTAAATTAACTGTTAAATACCCTGTCCTGTAATAAGATTGCAATGTCGCATCCTCAAAAAAACAAAAGTACACTCACAGATTTCCCACGGGATTACTGGCTACGACTACCCCATTGCCGCAGCCAATAATATGTTTAATAAATATTATTTTCTTAATATTGCTCATGGGAATGTTCCATTGCAATGCGCAATACAATGCATAACATCAGGTCAGTGAATATTCATGAATTAGATTCCAAGCAAGTAAGGTAATGATATATTATTTTTTTGTGATTTCCCTAATGGCTCATATGCTTTTAGAGTGACTCCATAAGCATCATAAGAAAAGCCGTTTATAGTAGCTTATTTTACCCTTAAAGTGACACTCCAAGAATCATAACAGCTCTAAGCTGCACACTTCCTACTATAATTATTTTTAATGGTTTTATGGAATGTTCTACACAATGTTTCACATAGTATTGTATCTAGGCTCAAGTTTCATATTTTCATGATGTCTGTTGATAATAGATTTGTTTCAATCCAAACTGCAATTCGTCTGAAAATGGGCTGATTGGGTGATTGGCCCAATTTCCAAACTCGGAGCCAGATGCAGCCAAATGAGGAACCAAATGAGACGCAGAATGGCTGAACATGTTCTTTTATTCGTGATTCTGAATTCCACCCAAGTCGGGAAAATTCTCCTATCAGTGTACTGCCAAATACAGACATACTATTATATAATGTCTATATTGCGCTGTACAATGATTACCCCATTGTTGCACCCCTTTAGGTCATCCGATTTGTTTCTGGATCGGTTTTCAGTACCAAAATTCTCCAAAGCCGAACCAAAAAAATTCATCGAAATAAGAGTGTCCTGAAAAATTGCCTACTGTTGGAAAAAATAGTTCAACCACACCGAATTTTCGGTGTGTACAAGTCTAGGTGATAATTAAAACAAATACCTTCCTGTTCTTTTCTGTGATGGGAACAAGAGAAATGTCCCCATAAACAGAAATATAAGTACAGGAAAAACAAGTTACCTGCGCTCTCTCCTTAATCCCTATGTATTTTTAAACAAATGGAGGTTTTTTAGTTACCTCCAATGGCCATGAGAGGATAAGCCAACGTCAAGCTAAGCATACCTGGAATTTAAAATATCTAATTAAAAAGAAAAAGATAACAGATAAATGGTATATATATTTGTAACATTTTCAGATAAACTTCAAATGATCATGATCTGTTAGAAAAATGTTTCAAAGAATTTAGCTACCAAAATTCCCATAGACTTTATCTGTTACTTTTCTAAATGAGCAGAGTTTATTGGTGGAATTATTCTGGTGTACCCAGTTTATGATCATTTGAAAAGCTTATCTAAAAATATTGAATCGAGACCTATCTTCTTAAATTTGCTCATAATAACCCATCCTAAATGTTCAGAAAAGACCCTGAAAGAACATGGTGAGATCTCGATATATATCCAAATTGGTCAACAATTAAATAAATGAGGCTCTTTCTTATGTGCAAAATTTTTTTTTTTTAAATCCAGTAAATTAGAGTTTGTAAGTGCTTTAAATTTTAAGGATCCCAATTTAATCTACAATTATGAGATAACCCGATGAGATGAACTGATGAGATGGCACGATGACCAGTCTGGTACAACTGTCACTGTTATTTGTGTCCATTAAGACTTGTATCTTCTTCATACCTTGGAAACGGGCATGTATGAGTATAAGTGTGTGCGAATTTCATATTTTTTCCTTACCATTCCTGCGGGTGGAGGCAGACCAGGGCCTAGCTTGTGCAGCTGGTGGCTGTGATGGTTGGGCCTGCTGTGCCCGTATCCTGTGTGACACAGGAATGCGGGGACTGCTCACATACTCCTCGTATTGCAGTGGTTCTATGTGCACTGAACGCAAGCTCTGTTCCCTCAACCTCTCGTCCCGGCGTCTCTTCATCCGGCGCCTGAGAAAGCTACAGAGGCAGCAGAGGAGTACAATAAATCCCCAAATTAACCAAAATCCAGCAAAGCAACTAAGGAAAGTGTATGTGCCCTGAGACATAACCATCGTATTCTGCCATACAGAGGGGCAGGAACCCCCAAACAAACACTGTGGGTTTACAGATGAGGGCACCAGGGTCAAATATTCCTTGTTCAAGAATGGCATATCATCCCCATCTCTTCATTTTGCTCTTTTTGTTTTCTTTCATGGCTGTTGCAGTCATTTTGTCTTAGTGCTCCTATTGTACATGTGCCCATTTAAGCAGTGCCTTTCTACTGGATTGGGTTGATCATATCTGGGTTCTGCATGTATAGAACACCCACTGCTGTCTCTGCACAAACAGGTCTTCTTTTAATTTACTGTTAGAATTATTGTGTCTTTTAATTGATCGTCTTCTAGGATTCAGGTGGAAGCCACAACACTGGAAATTATTGAAATAGATGCACAGATTGCGTTGTCAGCTAGCTATGTAATAAATAGGTTAGAGCTGGCAGGTGTACATCCATGGTGCTTCATCTATGATCCGCAGATTATTACATAGTCATGATAATCCACTGTTACTGTAAATAACTCATTTACCATGATCACCTGAAAGAAAGAAAAAAATACAAATGTCAGAATGGGTACATCGCACCAATCGTTCACACAGCGGTTGAGGCAGAACAAAAAAGCCTTTGTTATAACATGGAGCCTATCCATATACAGTCTCTATGAAGGCATTTTCACTTAGTTTTGATAAACTCTGCTCAACTCTGTTGACCTCGAAATGGCTATGGAAATTCAGGATGAAGCAAAGCATGCCTGAGGGACATGGCATATAAGCGAGCATGTGCCTACATAGATATGTGGGACAAAAATACCTTTTATTGTAATGTATTTACATTTAAACTAGCAACTCCTGAGCTAATAGTCAGTCATTTGCACTGCAAGTCTAAACCATTGCAGGTTGGGACAGAGGGAATAGTAAGAAGAGTCAGCTTTTTGAGCAAAACAAAATTGTTGTGGAGGCATATTGATAGGCGGGATTATGTGGAAAAGAGCCAGTTCCACTCAAAAGAGGGCATATCTGGTATGCATGCACATCAGGTTAAGTGGCAATCACACTAGCCAGCCTTTCCTCAGGGTGGCCAATGTGCACAGTGCTATTGAAGTGCCCTTGCATGGACTGAATACACTGAGTGCACTTTGCACACTGGAAGTGTATATATCATGTTCTTGTGCTGTGCTTATTGATAGGAGAAAGCAGGACAACACAGGTCAAATCAAAAGTATTGGAACTGGACCCAAATTTATTCCACTAAATCTGTTAGGATGTATGTAAGATGAAATAAGAGGACAAACATACTGTTATTTTGTTATATTTACTTGGCATCATATTCTCCGTAGCGACATACATCCTAACATAATAATAATAGACTATAGGCACCAAAACAAAGTTAGCTTAATGAAGAAGTTTCGGTGTATAGATCATGCCCCTGCAGTCTCACTGCTCAATTTTCTGCAATGTAGGAGTTAAATCACTTTTGTTTCTGGCCATGCAGCTCTGCAAGAAAAAAGTATCATTTATTTGTCAATTCTATGTTAACTTACTTTAGAAGTTTTTATCTCCTCCTCTGTAAATGGAACTTTAATCACACACAAGAGGCTCCAGTCTAGCAGGCTATTAATAGTGCAGGAGAGAAGAAATTCTAAAGTTTAAACATTAGCGCTTACTTTACAGGAAGTGTTTTGGAATGCTGTTTAGTTCACACTGGCATACATACCACGTTCACAGGGTCGCAGCTGCGACTGGACCTGTCACTCTAAGGGGCCCTACCGCCCTGCAGACCCCTGCGACCGGGTACCCGCCACCATCTTTTGCGGGTCCATCGGGTGGCCCATGCTGTTGTATGTGTGTGTGTGTGTCTGTATGTATGTGTTTGTGTGTGTCTCTGTATGTGTCTGTGTGTCTGTCTATGTACGTATGTGTCTGTACCATACAGACATACATACAGAGATACACATACATACAGAGACACACACAGACACACACATACAGACACACACACACATACAGACACATACATACAGACTGTATGTGTGTCTCAGTATGTATGTATGTGTCTGTGGTCTGTGTTTATGTGTCTGTGTGTGTGTGTCTGTCTGTGTGTATGTGTGTGTGTGTATGTATGTATGTGTCTGTCGTGTGTGTATGTATGTGTGTGTCTGTATGTTTAACTCCTAAATGAGAACTGAGCAGTGAGGTTGCAGGGCCTGATCTATACACCAAAACTGCTTCATTAAGCTTGAGTTGTTCTGGTAACTATAGTGTCCCTTTAATCTAATAATTATAAGAAACCAAAATACCGTCTTTTGAGAACGCTACCTAAGAAAAGTTTACAGTCTAAGGAAAACAGGTTAGATGAATTACAAGTAAGACATTAGATGGTGTAAGATGGTGTAAGCAATAATGCTATGATAGGAGAAATTTGTTGGTTAGTATATATAAGAGCTGGAAGTTGTGTAATCATTCAGAATAGTCTCTAAAGAGAACCGGGTTAAAAAAAGCAAGAGAGGGACAGAGAGCAAAATTTCAATCTTATCCCACCTGCCTTCCGTCCGGCTGCAGCCTGCAAATCTAACAATTATTTCGAACTGAAATTTGCCAGGCTGCACAGTGTGTGATATTTAATTATAACCGTCTATTTAATAGTACCAATCTATTTAATAGAGCCAATCAACTAGAATAGAATAGAGTAGAACAGAGTAGGACTGCCAGAATCATTTTAGAATGCCAAACGGGTCCTGGAATCTGTTTTCATTGGGATGTGGGAACAAAACTTTGGACTGTCTTGACGAATGGCACAGACATTATCTATGGACTTGTTTACATGCCTATCACAATCATTTAGAGACAAATTGAAAATCTCTAAAATGGCTCTCCCCACCATTAGCAATTACCAATAGTTATCAGGCTACAACTTAACATTTAAAGACTGGTAATTAAAAGTTTTAATGCTCTCTATAGAAATTAATAGCAGACGCTAAATGTTAAGTATCACTGTGTTTCCCTGCTAGACTGTAAAACTAACGAAAATATACACCTGCCTCGTTTAAGTATAAAGAGAAAAAGACACGTTTCCAGCTGCAAAAGGGATATAGGGATACTCCACTGTCAAATTTAAAAAAACAAAAAACACACTATTTATTAGCTATACCTCCAATGAAAACATGCATGCATGCATTTAATTTTATATTTTTATATTGGGCGTGTATATCTATAATAGCTTGCAAAAAGACTTTCTGTAGCTGTCCAATCACAGACTTCTCAATGCAGCTCAATGAGAAATATTTTCAAGCAATTGCCTGTTTCTTGAATTAACTCTTTTAGTTATACAATCAGGAAGTAAGAGGATCGGTTGTCTGATTGACAGCCGGGAGGTATAACCAGGTTAATCTTTAAAGGTGTCAATTTCTACTGACATCTGCATTCAGTGGCGTACCTACCATGGTTGCAGAGGTCGCAGCTGCGACCGGGCCCCTTACTCCAGGGGGCCCGGCCGCAGCCGCGACGCCTGCGACACCTGCGACCATGGGCCACCTGGATAACTTATGGGCCGGTGCACAGCCACACCGGCCCAGGTCCACAGTTCCCTTTGCTGGCAGGAGGGGAGAGCTGTGCTGTGCTGCTCCCCTCCTGCCTGTGTGTAGCTTGAGTGAATGAGACATCAAAGAGGAGGGGTCCCAGGGAAATTTTCGCACTGCGGCCCGGTGAATTATAGTTACGCCTCTGCCTGCACTTTTTTTATAATGAAAAAAGAAAGGCCACACACTCTTTACACATATAATCAACTTGAGCAAATACTAGTGCTTTATGGGCTTGCGGTGTCTGTTCAAATAAAACCCTGTGAAAAGTCACGATTATGAAAACACGAAGCATAACATGCTCTGGGATCACAGGTGCAGCGCACTGCGTGAATCGTCAAAGGGAGAAATGATCAGGGATAGGTTTATCTTTTGTAACAGAATCTAGACCTTAATTGTGCTCATTTTATAAACCCTGATGTGAATCTTGGCTGTGAAAACATTGAGTTTACTCAAGTGGTGTCTCTAGGGAGGTGTGGACTGCGAGGGGTGACACCATCAGAGGGGTTGACACTCTGTGTTCCTCTCCCTGCCAGTTCTGCTCCATGAGTTCAGCTAAAAGCTGCTTAGATTTACAGAGCAGACTGGACAGAGAGAGTAGCAGAGTGCTGAGGGGGGGGGGATGGGAAGAGGGCAGAGAGCTCCCAACCTGTGCCTGGGGTAACGGTTCTCTCGAAACTGGACCATATAGAGCGTTGCTGCGGGTTACCACTCTCTGATACTATGTGACTGGATAACGCAAGAGCATTTACACCAGGTCAGCACCAGCAGAGGGTGAGGCCAAAAGCTGTCAACACTGGACCACCATGGATAGACATGTCCCCCCTCCATAGCCCCAAGGTAACAAGAGAGAGTTGGGAATAAACATATATTTAATGATACCATATTGGTTTTTTAACGAATTAATAAAACAATTATCCTACAGGAGGAGGTCCATGGGGAGGGTGAGGGTAAGGACACGAATCACCAAGCCTAGTGACAACGTTGACTCTTCTGGAAATCAGTGCTGTGTCACTGATGTTTAGACAGGTATTGAAGATGGTGCGTTAACAATTATTATTTATTGTGTATCTCATACACAATAAATACAAAATTAAACATTATATTTTTTAACAAGGACTTTGACATAGCTATAGAGTTATATGTGCTCCATGTCCTACAAATTCTCTTTACAGTCACTGTCATGACAAACACATGAATCTAGGTGTATTTGGGATGTCATCCGTTAAATCTTATAAGTGACCCCCTGAAAAATTCCCTGAAATGCAAAACACCAAAAACACCCTGTTTTGTGGTGTGAGTGTAACTTAATATTTTAAAGGAATTTAGAACCCCTTTACCTAGAGATTTGGTCACACGCCTAACACAACCCTTGCAATATACCGTATGAGGTAATTAAGATTCACTGACTAAAATGTTGTGAAATAATTTTGGAAGCAATTTTGTTTTTTCTTCGGCATTAGATATTAATGGACATAATGCTGCAAGCCCTGGTGTCCAGTGGTGGCATGTTCACTTTAGCCTGCAGCTCCTCTTGCTGT